ATATATATATATATATATATATATATATATATATATATATATATATATATGTATAAATCATTTTTCATGCCCTGCGCTGCAATCATATTCCAATCAATATCGCCAGAATTATTATAAGTGCGCAGAGAAATATTTTACGTAATGATATGTCTCCAACGAAATTCTATGCGCTTAATCGTAAGCAGCATTCAATAATAAATAATTATTTCGAAAATATATACGAATTAACTTACGAGTTATTTAACAAATCCTAACAATCTCGATGATGCATCGAATGACAGTTCCCTTTTTTCTAATGGATCGGAATCGAAAGCGTGTAACGATCGTTCGTAAATAACGAGTGAACGATCGCAAATGAAAACCATGAAGTGTATAAAGTGTTTCAATCGATAGAATAATATCTCTGAGTCTACTCTGGCACTTGAACAACGCGCGAACAAATTACGTAAAAGAAATCTACAATTAATATGTTACGGAGCAAAGGTGATTATTTTGCGCTTTCATAAAATCACTGACAAGTCTATAAAATCACCTGCTGTATATCGATGACTATAACAAAAAACAAAAAAAAAAAATTAAATACACTTTATAAAATCAAAACAATTAATGCGATGATTTTATCGAATCAAAGCAATTTCGTACGTTTGCTTCCAAAATCGTCGGTAATATTTCAAAAGAAAAAAACGCAAGACGTTCCACAAGACATTTTGCGTTTCAATTATTATAACATAATACATAATACAAACATCTATCGATATACATAATGATTTTACACAATTGTTAGAGATTTCGTAGAATCGCTTAAACACCGTGACATATATAATATAATCATCGCACTTCCGACACATGCTCAAAGATCAGTCACTGGTCCCGATAGATTTACGTTGCTATCGATCACGAGCGGAGCCTTGGAGTCGCACGGAATCGACGAATCTTTATTATTTTTAGACGCGTCCGGTTTTCCGTCGTGGGTATCATCATCGTCGTCGTCGTTGTCGTTCGCATCCTCCTCGTCCTCCGACGATGATGACAATGATAACGGCATCCGACTCATCAATTTCTTGGCCGGACCTTCAGGAATGTGATTCACATCGGAAACTAGAACGTCGCGAATCCTGCTTATGGCTTCCGTGGGACCGTTCACCTTTTTACGCAGTATCTCCACCAGCTTCTCTATTCTGACAAATCATGTTTCATGTCACGTTACATTCATTCATGCCGACTTGGGTGCCGTTCTTGCACCGCTGATGCATCCAAAAATGTAAGAATTTGTTTAGAAGCGAGCAAAGCGAAAGTTTCAGCGAAAAGCCATGCTGCCAACTAAAAACAGAAGAAAACGACCCGATTCGGTGCCTGCCATCCAAATGAAACTTGTGCTGGGAGAAATCTTTCCAGGAGAAGAAATACGATGGATCTTCGAGGAACAGAAGGAATATCATGCAAGCGGGATTGCATTCACACGGTACAATATATGCAGATGATCTTGCGTGAGATGGTCTTGAGTGAGATGATCTTGCGTGAGATGATCTTGTAGGAGAAGATGTACATAATAGTTTAGCAAAAGTTCAATCCAAGTTATTATTATCATAATAGCATGGCAAATTAGAATATATTATATTGTGAATCAGTCTCTCCCCTAAATGACATAAGCGAGTGAAAGAAGTATATTTTGGGTAAATATTTTTTGAGAATTAAACTTTCGCTAAAATTTTTATTATAAGAAAATCATCAATAATATTTATCTTAAAAATAATATAGAAAAGAATATTTTCTCTTTCTCTCTGGATTAAAATTATATACTTTAATATTCAAATCGAATATGAGAACTACACTAAAATTTTCTTATTCTAAGAGAAAAGAGAAAGAGAGAGAAACATAATAATTTTTGGTAAAAACTTTAACAAAATTTTCACAATAAATGGTTTTTAAATATTTATACGATAACATATCCAAATATAATTATGATACATATATAAGGACTATAACAAAAATATAAATCTAAACTAACTAAGAAAGATTACATAAAATTGTTAACAAGTCATGCAGAAATTATGGCAATAGCAATTATTCCGCCATTTTTTATAATAAAGTATATATACAATATACAATATGGCACAATATACATATATACATATACAATATACATAAAAAACATTATACAAATAAAATTAAAATTAATAAAACTAAAAATTCATGAAATTAAAAAACATAATGTATGAATAAAAACATGCTATTAAAATTCTGCTACACTAACAATCAGCCAGTATTTAATATTTAACACACATTGATTAAAAGATATTCTAAAATTCATTAAAAAAGTATTTATTATACATATCTGCTTTTACATATATTTGATGCATATTTATAACTATCTAGATAATTATATCTATCTACATAAGATCAACAATCAGATATTCATGATAAATTAATCATGTATCAAAATTTATATAACCATGTGTGTAGCAAATAATTATAATACAGATTTTTAAAATGTCTGCATACTTAAATATCAGCTGGAGCAATTGCTATATCGAAATATGCGAAAAGTTTATTAGTCATTATGTCATTAATACTAATCAATCACTATTCTTTATCTCTCTTTCCGTGAAAAAGTTCTCGATAAAAAAATATTTTATACTAGAATAAAAAAAAAGATAAAGAATATATATTGGAATACAATTATAATGGAATAAAAAAATTGCTATCTTCATTTAGCAGACATCTCTTTCTCCATCTTCAGATGCAACGCTATAAAACAGTGTTACAAAATATCACGGATATACTATCAATGAACTACGTTATTCCAGTATCTATGTCATTAATTAACTGTACATACACATTATTTCATAGACAAAATATATTGGAAATATTACATTGTTATCAAGCTATTAAAAAAAATAATCAATTGAGTAAACTTCAGAAAATAATTTTTTTGCTCTTTTAAAGTAATATATATGTATTATTATAGCTTATATATGTATATATATATGTATATATATATGTATATATATATATATATATATGTATATCTTTTTCAAATATTGGTAATACGTAACTCCCCTGAAGCATGTAGCATAAATTAATAAATCGAGCGTGTATGAAAAAGCATGCATGATGAGTGAATAATAGACCTACGTGCTATTCGACATGTACATAGTAGTAGCCTCTAGTAAAAAGCCCCTTGAAGCCCCCGATATCGCCGACGCGAGAGAATAGCGTGATATTGCTCTTTATTTTTTTTTGTTGCCGAGGCCCCGCGCGTACATAACTTAGATATAGGCGGTGGTGTAGGTGGCGCGTGAAGGTGCTCTTTGGATTCTGGAGATCGGGGTTCTCGTCGAGCAGAGGTTTTTCGGCATAATGGAGCCACCACTGACCACAGCGACGTCCGGCACCTCGATGATGCTCGTGCGATCGTCATTGCGAGAGCAACAACCTTCGTCCTCGCTCATCGTGTCGCGACTGGCCCCGATCGTATCGCTCGAGGAGCACGGGCGACTCATGTCGACCTTGGTGTCCTGGCACGGGTTCTTGTCGGTCTCGCTAAATGATCTCTTCAAGTTGCCGTTCCTCCGTCGCGATTTCTTAAAGCTGCCTCGCTGATTGCGAAACGTGCACATTTTTTGCCAACTCGGGTGATTAATCGAGCTCTCTACTTTGCTCGTCGTGTCGCTTGGCAAATTCTTCTCCTCTTCGCTCGGTGATACGAGGATTCTTGCTTCATCCTTTTCTATTACCGATGTCATCTCCGTGTTCGCGTATTTCCCTCGAAGTTGATCGCCAGTTTGTTCCTCTGACAATAAACTGTCAGCCGTCAAGTGTCTTGTTTCCATTTCCTCCTCAGTCACTGTTAATTTTGCTTTACTGTCGCTTTTTGCGGCGTCAACAATATGCGCTTCCTTTCGATTGGAAAACATCGGATAATCCCTCAATTTCGATGCAGACGAAATATCTGAACGAGTCACGGTATTGGCAAGTCCTGAGCTCTGGTTTCCGATCTTGTCCCGAGATTCGATTCCAATCGCGTTCACGGTATCTTCATTCGAGCAAGTCAGGGCGGTTTGGCAGGGCGTGGAGATCGTCTCGGAACACCGATCGCTTTCGTCCTCCGTCGGCCGTGAAAAATCCTGATCACGAGACACTGGTCCGGGCTCAGAGTTTCGACGATGATTCGCATCTTCGGAGACGAGCAAAAGAGCCGCCACCTCCGCAGAACGGGAACGCAGGACGGAGGACGACGACGAGATTGCGGATGGGAGAACGGGGGATAAGGAGCAAGTGTCGGTAAGAGCGGTACGCACGGGGGTGCTGGTTATACAGGGCGTATCAAAAGTTACAGATCGTGTGACAGATCTGGATACCGCAAAGTTTACGCACTTTGCCGCATGGTTCTCGGCCAAGGTCCTGGACGCCCGCGCCTCGGCCAAGGTCCTGGACGCTCGCGCCTCCTGGAGCTCCCGTCGCAGCGCCAGGGTCTCCTCCTCGAAGGCTGCGATCTCGCGGCCCTCGTTGCTAGTGCGAATAGAATTGATTTTTTTTTTGTTTTTGTTTTTTTTAACCAGGAGCGCGGGTTTTCACGCCGATCGTGGACACGACGAGTCAACTCGATCGGAATTACGAATGTGAATAAGTGAAGATGCAAATTAATTTCAAAGACTGCGTTCGTCGAGAAATGGAGCAAAAGATGTACGATCAAAATAAAATAAATCGAGAGAGAGAAGATCATCTTGGATAGCGATACGAAGGTTTATCCAAGAGTGAGATTCAAACGTTTCACCATTTATCACGGCTTTCACTTGCATTTTATTTCAGCTACAAGATTTTAGAAAGCATTAGATTATATGAAGCTATTGCCAGACGTATTTTATGTGATACATCGCGCGTTTCAATTTACAGCATCGTTTAATAATTATAAACGATGGACGATGTTGCAACGTCCGCGGTTTATTAGGTGATAATTACTTGTAAACAATTTGTCGTAAACAAATATAATATACGAGAAAGATTATACCTGCCCCTATGCGTGAGAATCATGAGCGAAGAGCGAGTATAATAAATAGCGATGAAATAAACCAGGGGCCATTACAAAGAAATAATGTCAAATTGAAACCAGGATTTCTTCGACGATCTTTATCAGATACGGCCAAATTCTCTATCGCATTATTGCGCCTTTTAAATATGTACATACATTATCCTCGAAACAATGTCGAGGATACAAAACGAATACAAATATAAATTAAAGCAAGCTTTTAAATATTTACAAATGCTAAAAGGCTTACTTACGTTGCGTTCAGCTTCAGCGCCATCAGTTCCTCCTCCAGTTTCGCGACACGCTCGTCACTTTCTTCCTTCTCCTTTGTCAATTTCGACAATTGGTTCTGTAACAAAAAGAAATATATCTAAATTCCTAGAAAATTATAAGATAACACATGAGTTTGTTGATTAGAAAAGTTCATGGACATTACCTGAAGAAATTTTTTATCAAAGCAAATAAAATCAAATTTATCTTTTTAATCGTGATATACTAGATGCGTTCAAAAACTTTATCAAAAGTTTCTTGTCATTTTACTGAGAATCTTTTCTCTATTATATCAAATTTTATCGTGATAAACATACCTGTACACAGTTGGAAAATTTATGTTTTTTTGTTAAAAAATATGTATATAAGTGTAAAAATATAATAAATACATATTTTTAAATTTAAACAATAAATATGTTCCGTATTATTAGTGACAGGATTTATCTGTTAAAATTTACAAAAAAGATGTTGATTTTATTCTATAATAAATGAAAGTGACTACATATCGTCAATAAAATTTTTTCTAAGTTAATTCTATCATTAAAAATATATTGATTTTATAAAATTTATTTCAATTTATTATGAAGTTTTTATCTATTTTGTGATGAAATATTAACAATATTAATGTCACCATTTAACATATCTATGTATATATTATGTTAAATTAACATAAAAGTTTGTGTGGACCGTTTGGGACATGCGATATATGTTAAATTTAATACAAATTTTCCAACTATGTATTATAAATACGCAACTTAACCTAACCTTAACCTCTGCAATAAAATTAACGTAAAAAACTATCGAACATAATTGAATATTTTCCTATCTGTTTTAATCACCTTATCCTCTCGTGCTCGATGTTTAAAAATAAATGCAATACATTCAGCAATATGTATGTATATATATATATACATATATATATATATAAATTTAAAAAAACTTCATAGAAGCTCTGAAGCAACCTTGATCGGCTCTCACGCGCGGCAGAATTTACATGGACGTGGAGGGTCCCGGAGGTTCAATTACGAGATTGCCAATATGCAGGCGACATGGCGGTGGCGGCCATCGCTTCGGCTGATGAGGCTAATGGATGGTTGAAACCTGAGAAGACACGGCAAAGAGGAAAAAGAGGCCAAGGGAGAGGCCCCTGACAGCCGCTAAGTGCGTTCCGTCCTTCTCCACTCTTCCTCTTCTACCCGACTGATGCCCCTTCCCCTTTCATCCCTTCACGGTCCCCGCCCCGTTCCCTCGCTCACTCTCTCTCTCTCTCTCTCTTTCTCTTCTGCCTCTGCAACACTGCCCGCGCTGTGGATGCCCTTATGTGAAACCTAATCACTTTTAGCGCGTCACGGATATTTCGTATTATGTCTACATTGCGTTCTCCGGTATCGGCCGACTTTATCAACCGTCTCTCTCTACGATTCGAGCTTTCTCTCCTCTCCCTTGTCCCTTTCCTTCTCACAATCAAGTCGCGCGTGCAGTAAATTCTAATCGGTTAATGCGTTTCTCAAAAATACATCTAGGATCTATAATTTTTTGAAAAATATCAAAGAAAATCTTTTTCTCTCTCTCTCTCATCTTCTCTCTTTCTTTTTCTCATGATATCTTCAATTTTAAATTTCTTTGTTTAGAATAAAACAATTATATATTTAAAACTGATTTATATTTTCATATTTTATTTCATACTCTTCGCAATGCTAGTAAAACTTGAAAATGTAATAAAAGATGATTATGTACGACGTATGTACGGTGTAGTTATGATAAAAAAGCACATAATTTGTATTAGATAATATAACATTTTCTCTTCTATGTCGTTAAATTGATACGCACATGCGAATGTATGTAATAAACGACACATTTGCGTGTCTGTGCTAATATTGTATACAATACACGTTCTAATGCATATCACGATTATTTCATCAAAATAGCAAATAGTGTTACGGACAATTGATTCTTTTAGATAATACATGTGTGTGATCCTGGTTATTCACACACATGACTTTCTGTTGATACTAATTAACATTTAATCCATATATTACATCGTAAGAAAAATATAATATATAAAAAGTTCCTCCACTTCTTTTGCTCTCTACTGTATCTTTTTTAATGATAAAAATATCGTAGTTAAAAGAAAGAGATATAATAAAATACATAAAGAATAACATTTCCATAAAAAACAATTCAAGATTGGTCTAAAGATAAGCGACCGTAAATATAGAAATACGTAAACGAGCGAGAACAAAATCAATTGTAGGAATATCGCATATGTACCGATAAGCGGGAAAGGGAAAGTTGGAAAAAGGACCGATAGATACCACAATCACCTGGCTGTCCTAATCAAACAGAACGCAGAAACGTCTGCGCAAACATTACGTCCATGATCGTGACCCGGAAGGCCGAAAATATTGAACCGAGTGCTCATATTACCGTATCTCAATCGCAAGACGACATGAGCGGCATGAGAAAAAAAGGGTTCTCTTAGCCGCTGCTTTTGTTTTCTGTTCCCACATTCCCTAAGCCAGCCCGATGACATCTCGATTACCCTAACTCCAATTATAATTTTTCGATCATTTTGATTTCAATAATTTGTATTTCGAGGATAATATATATATGTAATCCTCTTTTTAATATTTTGTGCACAGAGAGACAATCAAGCTAACAATAATGATAATATTTTCTCGGAAAGATTAACGAATAAAAAAAATAATCTCTAATCTGAAGATTTCAAAATTTTGTATATATGTGATATTACTATACTCATTACTATTTTATTTATGAAGGATTACTATTTTTTTTTTAACATGGTTGGATGATATTAGAGAAACAACATAACAGTAAATTATTCTAAGACATTAATTAATTATTAAATCAAGTTTAATAAAAATGTAATTATTTTTTTAAATTATATTAATTGAAGTCACAAGAAGTGCCTAATTATATATTGCAATCAGATATCGTCTTCTTTACGTTTGAAAAATCATAATACATAAAAAATTAATATATAAGAATATTTTTACTCTTCAAGTACATACCTTAAGCTCTCCCACTTCTTTCGCTTGTTGATGATATCTCTCTTCCAACATAGTCTTAACCTTTGTAACTAAGTTTTCTTCACAATTTTTATTAGCTTCTCTGATTTCACCTATAAGTCCTGAAATAAGTAGTAGTTTTTTGTGAAATCTTAATATGTAATTACCGTAATTGTTGCTATATGTAAAAAATATTGTATAAAACTAATTACCCTTCAAAATTATATTATACATTTTATATATCTCTCAAATATATATTATATATTTAATAAAATTATATCTACCTGATAACATTCCAGGTTGATAATCTGTAGGAGTACTGTATTTGCATTGTGCTAATTTTGCTTTTATGTTTTCTACATTTGACTTAGTCTCACTGAGCTCTTTGAACAATTGACTGTTACATTTCTTTAGTTCTGTCATCTGTAACATAATATTTGAAAAAAAGATACATTAGTAAACAATGAAATACATTTTATACATATTTCACGCACATTATATGATTATATTAATATTCAATATTACATTAAATATTCTATTAAAACTATATATATATACTATATAATATATCATATCGTATCAATTATATTATATTTAATCCCAATATACTTTTAAATGAATAAAAAAAAGTACAAACCTGTTCAATGAGCGATAGGACAAGCTTATTACTACGGCTAATTGTTGTTACAGAACTCCCACTCTCGATACTGTCGGAATCATCAGAATTGTCTGTAGGAGGCAAATTCTCGGCAGGTCCCAATCCAGGATCGGAGTATCTTCTTTGCTCTGAATTTAGTTCATCGCTATTGATGCCACTATCTTTATTGGCGGTGGATGGTAGACTGGCGTAGTCTCCATTTTGATGAGCAATATGCGCAGTGAACTCTAATCTTCCATTCTCTTGCAGACTACCATAGCCATTAACGACATTATTGTTGGCATTAGGACAAACGTTCGTCATATGCTCGTTACAGTGACGTCTGCGTCTGCCGTGGACGGTTCTAACGTTCGGCATTGGCATTGGCTGGTACATCCTGTACATCGGTGGCAGTGAGACGGGCTGCATAGTGTATGTCAGCGGCAACGGCGAGTAGCCGCACACGCTCGGGTCGGACATCGCGGTGAACAGACGTTGTCCATTACCCGGCAAGTTTTGCGGTACGCCCGACTGCCACAGCATCTGTGTCGGATACTCGACATTCGACAACAGGCGATTACCATCCTGCTTGTTCTGAGGACCGTTCGCCCAGGTGTCCAGTACTGTATCCAGCGGATTGCTCCTGATGCGGTTGGATCGTCTTTTATTCTTTCTCGAGGGACTCGGCAGTCCTTGACGCGGCGTTTCTGACAACCTGCACGATTATCAATCACCTTGTTTAGACCAAAATATAACCTTGCGAGGGCGCGAGCGAAGGAAATCTTACCTCTTCTCCATCCTGGTGGACGATTCGATCCGCATCAAGACGCGGCTCTATGTGACAGCATGCGCGACATCCGGGGGACAGGAACAAGTCGATCCGATTCAATTTTCGCTGCAACACCCGCGATCACGCGAGATATTCCTCGATTTCTAGCGCGAACGACACACACACACAAACCGCGAACCGTACGTACAACCTTCGCGCTACATCGCGCGCGCATGCGCGCTCGCGCATTTCGCGCGCCAAATGTCAAACGACCCAGATTTATCGGCAATTCGACAGAAATCGAATGAGATAACGCAAGACGGAAACCAAAATCGTCCCGGATCGTCAAATTTGATAAAATTGCTTGCCTGATGACAATTTGATGCGAATAACAATAAATATTGTCATCTCTCACCCCCGTAACAAGTTTTGAATTTCAGATCGATAATGCGATTATCGATAACTGACTTGATGACAGTCGATAATAAATATGTCGATAATGTCACGTGTGCGACGACTTACGAGACATAACCTGAAAATGGCAGCTGAGGAAAGACAGACGAAAAGTGAAAAAGCTAAACCGATTTTTTGCGAGCTGTCCGCTAACGATTTAGACCTGGAAATTACGGAGATCGAGAGCTTATGCGTGGAATGCGGGAAAAATGTAAGAGAATGTCGTGTTTATTTCATCTAACCTAACCGGAAATATGTCCTTTATTATTATGAGATGCATGTCTCCTAAATGATTGTTTTGAATATTTATCAGGGGATTACCAGGCTACTGTTAACGAAGATTCCACATTACAAAGATGTGGTACTCATGTCGTTCGAGTGCGAGCACTGTGGCTATCAAAATAACGAGATACAAAGCGGTGGAAAGATAGCGGAGAAAGGTATCAAGATAACATTGCAAGTCACAACGCAACAGGACCTGAATCGTCAAGTGGTAAAATCTGACTATACCAGCGTTCACATTCCCCACTTAGACTTTGAGATTCCTGCGCAATCACAAAAAGGAGAAATTACAACGATAGAAGGAATAATTGATAAGAGCGTTAGAGCTTTGGAGCAGGATCAGTCGAGACGTCGAGAAGAATTTCCAGACACCGCAGATGAAATAGATCTATTTATTAGCAAATTACATGCACTGAAAATACTTGACGAGCCTTTCACTATAATCTTTCAAGATATCTCGGGAAACAGTCATGTAGAGAATCCAAAAGCACCAATTAAAGATAATCAATGTAATATAACATACTTTAAAAGAACAAAAAAGCAGAATTCTTTGCTGGGAATTTACTCGGACAATGAAGATGGTTTGCTCAAGCCCATACAGGAAGGAGAATTTACTCTGGAACAAATGGAAGGTGAAGTGTTGTCCTTCCCTACCAATTGCCCGGATTGCAACAGTCTCTGTGAAACAAATATGAAACTGACAAGTATCCTTCTATTATATATATGATGATTTTTTTAGTTATAATATTTTTTATTTCTTGCAAATGTAATAAGAATATTATATTGGAGGTAAAAGAATAATTTTTCTATTTATATATAAAATTTTTTTTCTTCACGTTAGTAAATGACACTGGTTATTTTAGTTTCAACATATTGCATTATTACAAGAATATATAAAATATTGTTATGTCTAAAACAGGTTTTAACCTTTGATCTATATCAATGTGCACAGGCACATTTGCATGTATCATTATCATGGTAATTTTTTCGGAAATTACACATAATGCTTTTTCCTTAATGCAAATGTTAAGATATACCACACTTCAAAGAAGTTGTCATAATGGCCACACTCTGCGAGTCTTGTGGTCATAAAACTAACGAGGTGAAGAGCGGCGGTGGAATCGAACCTCAGGGAGTCAAAATTGAAGTAATGGTAACAGGCAAAGAAGATTTCAATCGCGATTTATTGAAATCCGAAACTTGCGACATGGAGATACCTGAATTCGAATTAGAAGTCGGTCCAGCTGCTTTGGGCGGTCGATTCACGACTGTCGAAGGGATCATAACAGCGATAAAAGAACAGTTATCTTCATCTACGGCTTTCACCGGAGACAGCAGTGATTTGGAAACCGGGAAGAGGATGGAGACATTTATTGCTCATTTGGGAGAGATTTTGGACGGTCAAAGGAAAGTGACTCTAGTTTTAGATGACCCGGCCGGAAATAGCTATGTGCAAAGCCTCTCCGATGATGGGCCCGACGACAGATTAAAGATCACGAAATACGACAGAAGTTTCGAGCAGAATGAAGAACTTGGACTCAATGACATGAAAGTTGAGAACTATTAAACTTGTGTTAAATTAGAAGAACTAAGTATCATCAAAGCATATCTGAAAAATAGTCAGATAACAAAACTATCCATTTTAAATCATCACATGCCATTGTAACAAAGATTTTATTGTCCAACTAACTTGCACTATGTAAATATAAATTTTATATTTACTATTATTTTCATCAAAGCAAATACCTATTTCGGCTAACATTCTCTACTTTTAATAGTTTAGTTTAATCTTCACCTGCACGGCTGGAAGAGAAAGAAAAGCTTTACAATATGTTTAAAAGTGGCATCGCGTGGCTCTATAAAAGATAAAATCAAGAAACACATGGCATACACTATTGGTATCGCATCGATTTTTTTTAAGGTAGGCAATCGTTTTACAACTTGCGCACGCCACGATTCCGCGTCCATGTTCTCGCATATAGGATTGTTAATGAATAACAAATCTTGAAGATTGGGTATTTCTTGCAAACGATTAAATTCCGCCCAATCTTTCACCAGATTATTGCCCATATACAAGACCTTGAGCGCTTTGAGAGCATTGACGCCTTTGATCTTTTCAATCAAATTATAAGAAATCCATAATTCCTCCAAATGATCTCCAATCGCCTCTAATCCTGAGAACGTTTTAATGTTGTTTCTACTCAGGGATAAGATCTTCAAATATTTCAACGAATTAATGCCACTGATCTTTTCAATCATATTTGTTGACAAAGATAATTTTCTGGAAACGTTTTAAGGAAATTATTTAATCGATGTATTCCCCGAGGATATTAATGTTTCGTGTTAATATTAATTCATTAAAGGACAACAAACTCGACGTTGATTAACGTCGCCAAATTATTATCCATTCTCTCGATTGGAGGCCACTGGAAGGACAAAATTATTTCTTTTTGTTCGCTTGCGATTAATCCTGTTTTTTCCTCCCATCTTTGAATAGCTTCTTTGCACGTTGTCGCTTTAGCCTACATACTGTCGAAGGGATCATAACAGCGATAAAAGAACAGTTATCTTCATCTACGGCTTTCACCGGAGACAGCAGTGATTTGGAAACCGGGAAGAGGATGGAGACATTTATTGCTCATTTGGGAGAGATTTTGGACGGTCAAAGGAAAGTGACTCTAGTTTTAGATGACCCGGCCGGAAATAGCTATGTGCAAAGCCTCTCCGATGATGGGCCCGACGACAGATTAAAGATCACGAAATACGACAGAAGTTTCGAGCAGAATGAAGAACTTGGACTCAATGACATGAAAGTTGAGAACTATTAAACTTGTGTTAAATTAGAAGAACTAAGTATCATCAAAGCATATCTGAAAAATAGTCAGATAACAAAACTATCCATTTTAAATCATCACATGCCATTGTAACAAAGATTTTATTGTCCAACTAACTTGCACTATGTAAATATAAATTTTATATTTACTATTATTTTCATCAAAGCAAATACCTATTTCGGCTAACATTCTCTACTTTTAATAGTTTAGTTTAATCTTCACCTGCACGGCTGGAAGAGAAAGAAAAGCTTTACAATATGTTTAAAAGTGGCATCGCGTGGCTCTATAAAAGATAAAATCAAGAAACACATGGCATACACTATTGGTATCGCATCGATTTTTTTTAAGGTAGGCAATCGTTTTACAACTTGCGCACGCCACGATTCCGCGTCCATGTTCTCGCATATAGGATTGTTAATGAATAACAAATCTTGAAGATTGGGTATTTCTTGCAAACGATTAAATTCCGCCCAATCTTTCACCAGATTATTGCCCATATACAAGACCTTGAGCGCTTTGAGAGCATTGACGCCTTTGATCTTTTCAATCAAATTATAAGAAATCCATAATTCCTCCAAATGATCTCCAATCGCCTCTAATCCTGAGAACGTTTTAATGTTGTTTCTACTCAGGGATAAGATCTTCAAATATTTCAACGAATTAATGCCACTGATCTTTTCAATCATATTTGTTGACAAAGATAATTTTCTGGAAACGTTTTAAGGAAATTATTTAATCGATGTATTCCCCGAGGATATTAATGTTTCGTGTTAATATTAATTCATTAAAGGACAACAAACTCGACGTTGATTAACGTCGCCAAATTATTATCCATTCTCTCGATTGGAGGCCACTGGAAGGACAAAATTATTTCTTTTTGTTCGCTTGCGATTAATCCTGTTTTTTCCTCCCATCTTTGAATAGCTTCTTTGCACGTTGTCGCTTTAGCCTACATATGTAGATTTATTTTCATACCGAAAGGGATGTATAAAAAATAATCGTATTATTTTACATATATATTTAATTACTTACCATAATTATCAAGCAAAAGATTAAATTTCTTCCGGCAAAATTCGATAAATAGTTTCTCAATGAATTAATTTTAATTGATTTAACGGGAGAAATTAATGTATGTCGATTCGTTGTAGATATCAATGAATATATCGGCGAATACGTTAATATAAAATCTAAAATCCTATTTTCAAACTGTACGCGAATTTTCAAAGTTTGCCGCGCACGCGAGGAATCTAGTTATTTTAGCACGATTCACCATGAAATACGCATCTCTTCAAGATGTTGATTAACGTGGCCAAATTATTATCCATTCTCTCGATTGGAGGCCACTGGAAATACAAAATTATTTCTTTTTGTTTGCTCGCGACTAATCCTGTTTTTTTCTCCCATCTTTGAATAGCTTCTTTGCACGTTGTCGCTTTAGCCTACATAAGTAGATTTATTTTCACACCGAAAGGGATGTATAAAAAGTAATTATATTATTTTACATATATATTTAATTACTTACCATAATTATCAAACAGAAGATTAAATTTCCTCCAGTAAAATTGGATAAATTGTTTCTCAATGAATTAATTTTAATTGATTTAACGGGATAAATTAATGTATGTCGATTCGTTGTAGACATCAATGAATATATCGGCGAATATGTTAATATAAAATCTAAGATCCTATTTTCAAACTGTGTACGCAAATTTTCAAAGTTTGCCGCGCACGCGAATAACCTAGTTATTTTAGCACGATTCACCATGAAATACGCATCTCTTCAAGATGTTGATTAATGTCGCCAAATTATTATCCATTCTCTTGATTGGAGGCCACTGGAAAGACAAAAATATTTCTTTTTATTCGCTCGCGACTAATCCTGTTTTTTCCTCCCATCTTTGAATAGCTTCTTTGCACGTTATCGCTTTAGCCTATATACGTAGATTTATTTTCACACCGAAATGGTTGTATAAAAAATAATTATATTATTTTACATGTATATTTAATTACTTACCATAATTATCAAGCAAAAGATTAAATTTCTTCCAGCAAAATTCGATAAATTGTTTCTCAATGAGACGTTAATATAAACTCGTTAATATAAACGTTAATATAAAATCTAATCCTATTTTCAAACTGTACGCGAATTTTCAAAGTTTGCCGCGCACGCGAGTAATCTAGTTATTTTAGCACGATTCACCATGAAGTACGCATTTCTTCAAGATGTTTCGTAGACTAGCGAATTGGATCGCGAATCGCCGAGCCGCTTGCAACTTCCAACCAATGACAGCCGTGAACGCGAGCCACTCGTTGGTCCACATCCACAAGATGCGCTGGCACGCGTGACTGGCCGCGTCTGACAAGTGCTATTCGTCGGACTCGATCGTGCGTTCCCGATACCGCCGATAAAATGCCGAATCCATCAAAGAAGGACAAGGTACGTTTGCCACGGTAGTCCGTCGTCGTATCGCCATATATAAACAGTTTACCGTGCGCGTGCTGAACGCTCGTCTATCCAGTGGCTATGATACGGGGCGCGAAACGGAGAGGAAGATAAGAGGAGAGAGAGAGAGAAAGAGAGAACGGTGTCTCCTGTCGCAGACGCGCGAGAAAGAGCGAGACGTATAGAGTCGAAAAGAAAGAAAGAGAGGGGGAGCATCGGACCGACCCAAGAGAGAGAGAGAGAGAGAAGGAGCGTGAGAGAGGGATTGGGGGAACAACCCCGGCAAGCGAACGGACCTCTCGTCAGCCACCCGAGGATGTAGCGTGACTCCGGTTTCTTGACCCGATCTCGATTCCGCGCGCGCGAGGCCGCCCTCTGTTCGGCGAGACTTCGGTTCGACTCGCCAACGACCGGGATTAATCGCGGCCGCGCGATCGTTCCGTGGACGACTCTCGGGGGCTCGGACGCGTAACGTCGCCGCCGACGACAGCTACGACGACGACGACGACGACGACGACGCGCGCTGCAGCTCAGTCGGCCGCGCGCCCGAAACGAGCGCAATGGTATGATTATTTCTTTCGCACGCGCGACGTTTCTCCTTTTATTCTCTCTCTGTCTCTCTCTCTTTCTCGCCCTCTCGTGCCTTTCCACCGACGCGTTTCCTCTCTCTCTCTCTCTCTCTCTCTCTCTCTCTCTCTCTCTCCATCTATCGCTATTAATTCGTTCGCGCGTTAATATCGCGAGTGCGAAAGCGCGGCAACCGGAAATTCACTCCGCTTCTGTTCCAGGAAACGGCGAAGAGCGGCAAGGACAAGGCGAAGAACGGCAAGGACGTCGACGCCGTTGACGAGGTGAGGTTATATTTTCTCTCTCTACCTCTATTCCCCTCTCTCCCTCGCTGCCCTTTCCTCCGCCATCCGCTGTCCCGTGTAACGCCGTAACTTCTGTCAACGTAGATCGTCGGTATCCGCGTATGCGATTCGTGACACTTTGTGCTCGCAGCAACAGGAACGCGTTCCTGTTTTAGCGTCCGGTGCCCTTTTTCGAGAAACGTCTTGGAATTCCTCGGTGACAGATCGGCCGCGTGGCCGAGACGATACCCGACATCTTGCATCTTTCACTTGCCTTTTGTCCGCTTTAACGTTACAAGCACACGTTCATTCATTCATACATGCATCTACATATTTAGTTTCTTTTTTTTTTTGGATATGCTTAGGTTCATTTGAAGACTCTGGTATATATTACAAAGCAGAATTGTTAAAGAAAGTTATTCTACGTCAGCAAAAACTGCACGTACAGTATATTTTGGTCTCGCTGAAACGTATCTAATGTATAGTTTTCAACAAATAATCGTACATTTTACTCTTTGCATTGATACGTCTGTTGATTTCTGTATTAGAATATTATTTATTTGTGATTTATATTATAGTGATATGTTTTATGTGATTGTAAAAGAATATTTATATAACTAATGTCAATAATGTATTTTATTATATGTTATAGATATCATCTTATAGATAACATCTTTCAAAGAAACAAATCTAGAATATATATATATATATAATATATAAAAATACTTTATATAAAATTAACTTTTTCGCATATATATGAATGTAAAATATTGTTTACATACTTGAAATGGATATGAAGCATAATCATGTATTGATTATTATGTGTGACGAATATAATATCTATAACATATAATTTTTTACAGTTGCGTAACTTCTCCCATGATAAACAAGTATTTAATCACAAGCAACAAATTGCACCACATATATATCTTATTTTATATCTAACTTCTTGCAAACTTAAAATGGAATATCCTAGATACCGTAATTAAATAATGATAAGAAAAAGTATTCATAAAATTTATGTATTAGATTTTAACTTATAGTACCTATATCTTAGACATATTATATGTCACTTGTCAAATTTATCAAATCATTAATCATGATATTGTCAGAAACATAAAAGAATGGTACCAATATTTATAAAAAAAAAAAATAATTAACATGAAAAATGAATGACTTAATTTATATAGCTCGTTCATATATTTGTATTTTTTATAAATATTCTTTTTTTTATAACAATATTTCTTGCCACACTTTGCCTTTTTTCACACTTGACCATGATATCTTACAATTGAGCGTTAAATATATTCTTGGCAACGAAGCTAAAAACGTGTCTGCGCTCATAGTGGAGCACTTATTGTAATTGATATCGTTCAATGAGCGGTCTAATTGCAGACGTTATTCACCGAGTAGTCTGATAAGGATTTTTATCGCATCGGTGTTGAAACAGTCCCGAGCTAGATGGCGCATCTGCGACGTCAAAGGTTTTGATGAACACCGTATAATGTTACAAGAAGCACGGCCACCCATGTGTGTTAACATTAATTGTTATCACGATAAAAAAAGAAAATGACAAGCGATCGTTGATTAATATTTCCATGCTAAAATCTGATATCACGATTGCTGACGTAGATCAATTAGATCATTTCTTCATAAATTATGTATACGTTGCAGGATATTGATGCAATTGATGTAATTTTATGCAGAATTTGTGTTAAAAGATAGATAGAGTTGCACTATTTTTTTATGACGAGCGATTTGGATAATTTAAAGCTACATTTTCATTAACATTAAATTTATCGTCGATCGTGTACTAATTTTACCTTTCGTATCTCATCGATATATAATCGATATCGCACGTTAATTTTGCACGTAACGGTAACGTGATGTTACGTAAATATTTATTAACGGAAGATTCGCTCTGCTTATTCCGTCGATCTTTAGAAAAAAGAAAGTGCATTTTTTTATTTTCTACTTTAATTTTGTTTATTAATTTTATAATTTATATTTGGATTACATAATAACTCTTCTTTATCAAAATAATAGTGTTTCTCACGCTATTATTTTCAAAATCGCTTCGATAAATAACAAAAGAATTATTCCAAAGAAGAGAACCGACAAAGATTTCGATGGATCTGTCAAATATAATCGTCGAATTATCGGTTTGCTCTTCCCGATTTTTTTTCTCCCCAGTCGATGATTGCACAAAAGCATCAATGGCACTAACGATAAACGCGCATTGATTTGATGCCAAACATGCGTTATACATACTTAAA